CTTTCCGACGCAGGAACCTTTATTTTTTTATTTTTTTATTTATTTATTTAAAAAAAATTTTTTTTTTTTTCAACGTTTATTTATTTTTGGGACAGAGAGAGACAGAGGATGAACGGGGGAGGGGCAGAGAGAGAGGGAGACACAGAATCGGAAACAGGCTCCAGGCTCTGAGCCATCAGCCCAGAGCCCGACGCGGGGCTCGAACTCACGGACCGCGAGATCGTGACCTGGCTGAAGTCGGACGCTTAACCGACTGCGCCACCCAGGCGCCCCGACGACGCAGGAACCTTTAGATCCCCTGTGTCGCTTGACCAGGTTTGAGGTGGCACTCCGTCACTTGCAACCTGGAGTCCTGTACTAATGTCACTCGCTCTCGGCCGCCCGCGATGAGCTCCATTTTCTCAGGTGGGAAAGAGAGGGCTGGAATTGGGGCCCGCGGCGTGAGAATCATTCCCACCCGGGCCGGTCTTCTCTCCAGAGCGGCCACTTTTAGTGTTTGTTGGGGGCAGTTATGAGTCACCGCGCTGTTTCTGGAACAGTTTTTTTGGGGGGGGGGCTTCCACGAAAACTCGAGTCCTGCCTGTTTGTGCGTCTTCTACCCATCGTGGTATTTATCGTACGGAAGAAAACGGAGCCCTACCTCTCCCCAGGCAAGCACCTGCTTCGGTCCTCCCGGGCACTCTTCTGCAAACGGACACGCTCTTTTCCAGTGTTTTATTCCACGATGGTCTGGAACAGGGTCCGTGGGGCGTGGGAAAGAAGGCGCACGTGGCCGTCTAGAGAAATCTCGCGGATGCACGCGTGGTAACGGGCAGGGTAAATGCGCACAGAGGCCAACGTGGTCGTTATGGGAGGCGGCACAGAAGCAGGGTGGGCAGGGCCCCCCGCGCCCTCCGGCAGGCTGGGCGTCCACCGAGGTCTCTGTGGCTTCTGTGTTCACAGCCCGGGGGACAGACGAGCCACCGCTTTTGCTCTGGGGTCTGGGTGTGATGCCACCGTGATAAGGAGTACGATTTCGTATCTTCTATTTGCCCCTCGGATCCTGACGCCACCTTCCCCTGCTTCCTGCCTTGAGGGTGCCCTGTGCGGACAAGGGGCTCCTGTGCCCTCCACCTTCTGGCTGGGAAGCCCTACGGCCAGCTAGAGAGAGGGAGGAGGCTGAGGGCAAGGTGTCCATTCTCCTGGTTCCTTCCGTTCGATGCCTGTGTTCGTTTCTGCTACAACGAAGTACCATGGACAGGGCGAGGGGTGGGGGGGAGGCGGGGGCGCGTAAACCGCAGAAGTTCCTTCAGGAGGTCACTAAGTCTCAAATCAAGGTGTCAGGCAGGGCCCCGGCCTCCCTGGAGGCTCCGGGAACATCCTTCCTGGCCTCTCCAGGCTGCGGGTGGCTCCGGGCGATCCTTGGCTTGTGACAACACCATGACATTCTCTGCCTCCTTGTCACATGGCCTTCTCTGCGTCTCTCTGTCTCCTCTCTTCTCATAAGGTCGCCGGTCAGATTTCAGACCCACCCCAAATCCAGGATGATCTCGTCATCTCAGGATCCTTAAATAATTATATCCGAGAGGACCCTATTACCAAATGAGGTCCCAGACAGACAGGAATTTTGGAGGACACTATTCAGCCCACCGCAAAACCCTCATGGACTGGCTGGGTCTTTCTGACCAAAGGTCCGACAAGGGTCCTGTCTGCATGACTCTTTTATTCTGGGCCTCCGGCCTTTGGTGCCTCTGGTGGTAAGGCTCTGATGGCACCAGCCCTGGGACCCTACATTCTCCTTTCCCCTCTCGGTTTCCCTATACCCCACCTTGTGAACGAAGGCTCCTTGAATGCCTGAAAGAACCATCAGTTTCCTGTTGGGGTGTTGATGGACATACTCTTCATCACGGGGCACTCAGCCCATCTCCTTCCATCCTCGAAATTAGTATCACTCCCTCCTGGATGAAGAGACAGGTTCAGCAAGGCCGAACTACCTGCCCGAAGCCGTTCCGCTGAGATGTACCACGGGTAATGCCCTCCTTCTCTCGGGATGCCAGGCAAAGCCAGTTCTGCCTCCGAGAGGCATCCTTTGGGGTGTGGAGAGGTGGGGACAGTGGGGCCTGACTCCGGACTCGTGTCGCTGCAGGTGAATGGAAACCCAGCTCCAACTGGCTCCAAGCAAAAGAGAGAATTTGTTGGCTCCTGTGCCTGAAAAATCTGGGGGTGGGGGGTGGGGAGTGGACTCGCTCGAGGCACCTCCGGCTTCAGGTGTGCAAATGATGGCGAAGAAGGGCATGTGTCCCCCCTGTCGGCTCTGTGTCTCTGTGCCAGCTCCGTTCTTGGGTGACTGTGCCTGGGAGGGGTGGGGGCAAGATGGGTCCTGACTCCCCAGCTTCAGGTTCCCAGCGGGAAGGGAGCTTGTCTCTCCACGGCCTGCAGAAGTCCCAGGGAAGACGCTGGTGTCAGGCAGGTGGCTCCCCAAGGGGAAATCAGGGTGCCGCTGGAAGCTCCTGGAAAGGGCAGGTGCTTGGTGGGGAAGGTGGGCAGAGGTTTTATCGGTCACCTGAGGCAGTGGAGGAAGGAAGGGCCGGGCAGATGTGGGACCGGGGCTTCTCCCACCTTCCACCTTAGCAGAGGGATCCTCCCGAGCCAGGTATTGGGAAGCAGGAGGTGGGCGGTGTGTCAGGGGAGGGGGATGAAGGCACTTGGGTGCAGAAGGCCACCCCACGTGGTCCCGGGACGTCAGCACCATAAACCCTCCCTAGGGATGGGAGTCTTCAGGAGCTGATGTCCCCAGCTGCTCTCCAGGAAGGTAGCGAACCAGCAGGATGGAGTCCCATATGCTGCCTCCTCGCTGTGTGACCTTGGGCCAGCACCATCGTCCTCTGGGCCTCAGTTTCCCTGCTGTTAAACGGGGGCCTGCTCCCCATTGCCGAGAGATCAGAGGGAGGACCAGCAGGCATCTGACAAGTGCCCTGTGTGGACCTAGGAACCTGGCTTCTGGTCTCGTCTTCACAGTGTCTCCTGTCTTTCCAGGTGTCCTGTCTGGTCATCCGGTGGCCAAGCAGCTTGGAGGCCATAGAGGCTGGCTGCGTGTCGCCTGCTGACTTCCCACCCTCGGTGTCTTCGGTAACTGCTTGTGGGAGGCTGAGGTGTGAGTCACGGGAGGTGCCGGGTGAGGCTGCGGGGCCCGGGGGGCCCCGAGCTGAGTACCAGCTCTCATGCCAACTTGGTGCCAGGCCAACGTGGGCCACCGAGGAGGAAGAATCAGAGCATCTCTGTCTGAACCCAGGCCCTGCCTCCTCCTAGCCGGAGTCCCACTTGGGGCAAGCCTGTCCCCTCGGCGCCTCAGTCTCCGCCCCCACCAAAGTCAGGGCAGGGCTACAAGAGCGTGGGGAGGTGGAGCAGGCGGGCGCCTTGCATGGGCCCGCTCACTAGGTAGGAGGCTCGGCGGCTGGTTTATCGAACGGCCCAGTGTGGTTTGACACGGCTCCAGTCCCTCGGTCCCCAGCTGCACTCTGTCAAATCATCCCTTCCTCGACTTCCAGTTTCCTTCACTTTTCGGTTTTCACTGAAAGTGTTCAGACTCTCTGCTCTGTCCCTTCTCGCTCCCCTCTGCTCTCTGTCTTTGCTCCTCCTGTGGGTTAGGTAGGGGTTGAGGGGAGCAAGATTCAGGGGGTATGGTCTCCCTTGCCCTGGTCCTTGGCTGTCCTCTCTCTGGAGCCTCTTGGTGAGCCATTATCCACCCCCCCCCCAATCCTTGCCCTCAGCTCCTGTCCCTGGTGAGATGCACCCTTGATCTGCGGCCCCTCCCTGGATGCAGGTTCACAAGGGCGGCCTCACCTCCTCCATCATTTGTTTGACCCCCGTGGGGCCCATTCCTGCTCCCACCTCTCTTTGACTCTTCCTCTTCTGAGAGGTCCGTTTTGAAGTATTTGCCTCTTGGTTCTGTGTAAATCTTCTTCGGCTTGCCCCCTGGCCCCCTGGGATTCTCCAGCCCATACTAGGGGGTGAAACGAAGATGTTACTGACCAAGCAGGAGCCAGGTTTTCTGCTCCAGAGACTCAGTCCAGTTGGGCCTGGCGGAAAGCAGGCGGAGGTAGCACAGGGCCGCCTTGTACAGGTGTTAAGGCTGTGTACTGCACAGGGGTACCTCAACCGTGAGGACACTGTTGTCAGTGCACATCCTAACTGACCTATGTGAGGCGTGTGGGTAAGTGTCAGGATGCAGGCCTGTGTCTCTGGGTGGCTGAGGCAAGCCTCCTTTATGTGAACCCCACACTGGCTTGGACACACTCAGGGCGGCACCTGTATACTTCCGCACACGCACGGATGTGTGCAGCTATGCCCAACCCCCGCTGAGCTCAGAGGATGCCTTGAGGTCCCTCCACCTGCTTGCTGCTCTCGCACCCAGTCCTCACCCTCACCGGGCTCCTCGGGGGCGGTCCTGAGGCAGGGTTCAAGGAGTAAGTAGAGGCCAAATAAGCAAATGGATGAAAGAAGGGGCACAGAGGGGAAACGGCATAGAAAGGAGTAGGCACGCAGCTGAGCATCTGACCGCGTGCCTTTGCTTCCTGGGTTGAGCAGTGTTCTGGACCCCGGCCAGCTTCAGGATCTGTGCTGCGGGGAGGGCCGGCCTTTCTCTCCGCTTAAACCCCCAAGTGGCTCGGGGTCTGGGTCTGCAGGGTCTCCCAGACCAGCGTCTTCCGGCCCTTGGGACCAGTAGTGGAGCACTGCCCTTGGAGTCCAAAGTGGGAGCCCCCACGGGCCACCTGGGTGTCCCCTGCCCCGGCAGCAGCTGCCAGCCACGGAGAAAGGGGAGGGCCAAGGAGAGGGCGAATGCTTTCCCGGGGCCCCTGTGTGCCCCTCTGGGAACGCCTGGCCTCCTTCCTCCCGCCCCTGGCAGCAGGGGCTCCCCGGGGCGCCCTGGGTATGGGCCTGGGGGCAGGGAGCCGGGCGAGCTCCGTCCTCGCCAGCCCGCGGGGAGTCTGTCTGCCCCTCCCTGGGCTCTGGTGAGAGACTAGAACACAAAGCTATTTTTATTTATGATAGTGTCAGTGGGCTGGCCTCCGTCTAGACAGCGGGTGTTATCATTCGGGGCCATCCTGGAATGCGCAGCCCCATTTATTGAGAACAGAAGACCGTGTGCAGATTAAGCGGCTCATAAAAATAAGCTGGGAACTGATACCGGGCCGGCCAAGCCAAGGTAACCGGCGAGGTCAGCCGTGCACGTTGCTTTTGGACACCGGGATGTTTTCAGAGATAAACGAGGATCGATGTGGCCGCAAGGGTGGGCGTGGCCTGAGCCTGCCGGTTCCCCTCTGGGTGACGCATTTAGCTGCCTCGGGGCCTCAGGGTGCTCATCTGTAAAACGGGCACGAACACAGAACGTCTGTCTCAGGATGAGGACTACGTGGCTAAGGGGGAGAAAGAGTTTGGGAAGGTGCCGGCACACAGCGAAAGCTCTGCGATATTACTGCCTCTGCTATCATTCTGCCCCCTCGACCTTTGGAGCGTGGCCACGAGGAGGAAAAGGCAGCAAGAGTGGCCTTGACCCAGCCCTTCCGAAGGGCCGAGGCAGCTGCGGTTGAGACTTCTACGTGGGCACACTGGGGCAGAGCTGGAGGGCCCAGACCTGGGCAGGAGAGAGCTCCAGTGGGGGTGGCAGAGGCAGGGACCCGGCTCCACCCCAGCAGACGGTCCCAGCACCCCTCTGAGCCTTGGTTTCTGCTTCTGAGAAATGGGGAGGCCGGGGGGTCCCTTGCAGGCTTGCCTGGGACGGAGCGCGCCCGGTGCTCAGGGCGCTGTGTGGACGCCTGGCTTCTGTGAACCAGGCACTGACAGAGCCCACGGCAGAGCAGGCCCCGCGGCCCTTTGGGTTGGGGCTTTAGGAAGGAACAGAGCCTCTCCTGGTATCTGATGCCGTCCTGCTGTCCTGCCGTCCTGCCTTCCCGCTCCCACCCCGACACTGACTAAAGGTACACATGTGTTCTGCGTTGCCCTGATATCGCCCTGGCCTGGGGCCTCTGTGGTCAGAGGCCTTGTGCTCTTCCTTCAGCTTCCGTGGTTTCTCCGGCTCACCCTTCGCGCCCGGCGCGCCGCCCCACCTTCGCGAGGTCTCCGTCCCAACCTCTGCTTTGGAAGACACCTGCCCTCTCCTTCCTGTGATAGGAGAAGCTCTGGGTGGGGGTCCACCCTGTTCCCAGGGGCCGCACCCAGCACCCCCTGAACGAATGAGAACCCAGCTCTGCAGGGAAGCGGGCTGTCCTCAGCCACCCAACAAGGGAGACTTCGGGGGAGGGGGAGGGGGAGTCGAGAGAGAGTGTGTGTGTATGTGGCCTGTCTGAGCAACCAAGGTCACAGTGGACCCGCCAGACAGCGCTGTCCAGGGGATAGCATATATCAGCGTGTGCAAAGTGAGTGCTTTCGCCGGCACACGCGAGTTCTCAGGCCCGTGGCGTTGGGTGGAGACGGACGGTAGGCTCGTGCCTACTTTGGGGGGTGGCTGTGAGGCTCACAGAGGTGGTTTCGTTTTCCCAGGACCACCCAGGAGTCTCTGAGCTGCAGGTGGAGCCCAGATCTTTTCCCCTGCGTCTTTTGTGGAACCTACTACCCCCGGGAAGGAGAGAGCCCAGCGGGAGCTCCCGCCCAGGAACGACTTAGGAAGAAGGCAGCCTCGATTTACCCGGGTGTGCTGGGGTTTGCCGTCCACTGCCCCCCAGGCCCCGAGGCATGGCGGCAGCATCCCTGGGCTGACCCGCTGACACTGTGAGTGCCTGAGGGACCCGTCACCAGGCACAGAAGAAGCGCACAAACCGCACCCCCCCCTCCTTTCCCAGGATGCTCTGCAATGCGTGGGCTCAGAGTAGCCACCTCGACCTCTCCGAGGGAAAGAGGACCCCAGAGGGCAGGGCTCAGGGAGCCACAGGGACAGGCTCAGGCTCTTCCCCAAGAGCATAGACTGACTGCTGGATTTCAAGACAGGAGCGCCCAGGGCGGTTCGGTCAGAGCCACAGCCTAGACCAGGAGCTGCCTAGAGGTGGGAGGATTTCTGGACGTAAGCAGAATAAATGACCCGGGTCCCCGAAGTTCTGGGTTTAAGCCTCCTTCATGGGGCCGCCTGGGGGAGGCACACAGGCTGTGAGCTCAGACAGCTTTCTTACTATTATTATCTCCAACCCTTAAATGGCACTCCCTGTGTGGCAGATACTTCCTAGCAAGAGCCACTCCACAAGCAGGTCCTGTCACCACCCCCGTTTCACAGAGGAACCTGCCCAAGTGGGCTCGATCCCCAGCCCCGCCGAAAACTCCTATTTATTTTTCAAAACCCTGGTAGGGCATCCCTGCGCCGATCTCCTGGTGGGGGCCATCCTTCCCCCCAACCCCCCTTGGAGCCCCATTTCCCACACCTGCCGGTCTGTGCCCATCCACTGGGCTCCTTGCTCAGAAGCCTGCTTTCCGGAGTCTGAATCCCCATCCGGCACAGACAGGGGGTCAAGATGTGTTTGCCGAACGGGACAGCAGAGGCTGTGGCCCCTTTTCTCGTTACTCCCACAGGACCTCCTGGAGGAAAATGTTGCTTGTCTCCCCCCGCAGGTGGCCAGGAAACCTGTCCTTTAAAGGTGACTCTGGGCAGGTCTGCCGGCCCAGCCCACCCCCCAGTTCATCTTTCCTGGAAACTGGGGGTGGGCGATGCCCTACGGAGGGGACCCCCCCCCCAAGCTTCCAGGGACGGCGGCAGGAGGCACGGGCAGAAGCCATGGGACCAGAGGGAGGGGTGTCCCCGGGGAGGCACAGGCATAGCCGAGATGCTTATCTTTCCCCCTCTCTCGTCAACGGCTATTACGACGCCTCGGGCCTGTGTGGGCTTTGCAACTTTTCGAGGCGTTGCCTCGAACCCAGTTCTCCTTGACCCTTTGCAACACCGTGAGCTGGGCTGGAGTGGTTCTTCCCACTTCGCAGAAGAGGAAATGGAGACCCCCCCAAAGGTGATGCCCAGCCTCACAGGATCAGCGACTGGTATTCTGAAGTCCCCCGGCCTGTAGATCTCTGTCGGCTTCACCCTGCAGCGGGCCAGCCTGGAAACTTCCTAAATTCCGCCACCGTGTCCGGTTCGCGGGTGAGGGCCCCCTGCTTACGATCCTCTCTCTTTCGGGTTTCCTGGAGGACTCTGAATGGGGGGGGGCAAGGGCTGGGGGTGGGTGGCAGGAAGTCGGACTCCTTAGGGCTGCCGGGAAAGGCACCCCAGGGGGCAGGGTCCCAGGGCCAGCATGCTGTTCCTTCTGTGGTGCAGCCACCAGGCCTGGCTCCTCCCAGCGTGGCCCTCAGAGGCGGCTCCTTCCAGGGAGAGCCAGACTCCAGCCTGCTAGCAGAGGATGTTTTCCTGCGCAGTGGACAAAACATTTCTGGCACTTTCAGGAGGGGACTGAACAGTCTGTCCACTTTGGCTGCGTTCGGGGTTCCTGGACGGGCGCAAGTGTGCTTTCACAGGCAACAAGATTAATCACACAGCAACCTCCCTCCCTCCCGGCTCCTCACCTGCCCCGCCCCGTCCCCCGTCACCCGCGCTGTGCTCCGGAGCAAACTTCTGAGAAGTCATTCCAAGTGGCCTCAGGAAGTGAACACTCGAGTCACGCGCCTCCCGCCACAGGCCTCCTCGGTGAGGGGGAGGGGCTGGGAAACACCCCCGACCCCGAGTCCCGTGAACCCCAGCCGTCTCACGTGGGGCACGTCCCATCCCAACTGACTGCTTTGGCCTCTGACCTGATGCAGTGGCCTGGATCCGACGGCCGTTCCTCCTGGTGCCTCTCTGGTGGAAGTTCATCAGAATTTCCCGAGGTTTGGGAAGCTTCCAGAACCCCCGGATGAGATGTGGTCCCAGCCCTGGTTCCCTGTGTCCTTCCACGCTCCATTTAGAAAGGTCTCTGAGGCACCTGGGTGGCTCGGTTGGTTAAGCGATCACCTTCGGCTTAGGTCATGATCAGGTTCATGAGTTCGAGCCCCGTGTGAGGCTCGGAGCCTGGAGCCCGCTTCCGATTCTGTGTCACTGTCTCTGCCCCTCCCCGCTCACGTTTTCTCTCTCTCTCTCTCAAATATAAATAAACATTAAAAAAAATTTTTTTTTTTTTTAAAGGCCGGTCTCAAGTGGCCAAAGTGAAATCAGTGGGTAGGGTCAGGATAGATCAGGAGAGAAAGGAAGAGGTCTGTGTCCAGAACTTCCGGGCCACGCCCAGGGCTGGGTGGGGGATGTGGTGGGGGGACAACCCTGGCCTGGAGGGCCCGCTCCAAGGGACGCCTCGTTGCAAAGCTGTTCTCAAGGTCTCGAGGTTTGCTCTAGACCCTGCCTGTCCCAGAGGGCCCAGCAGTAAACATCAGAACATTCCACGAGCTTAGGGTCCTGGCAAGACACCCCGAGGCCAGGGCCACACGGCCACCCCAGGCAGGTCTGACGCTTTGGAAATTGGGCCCCCACCCTGGCTGCACTCGAGGCAGAACAGGTTTGGGCGGCACGGGGGGTGGGGAGCAGCGAGACCACTCCGCAGAGGCCCGTGGGCCGGCGCCGGGGCCCTGAACCCGCCGGGGCGAGCTGAACTCCGGCGGGAGGCAGGCTGCTAACCAGTAAGCAAGTTGTAAAAACCCAAGTCAGACACAACATCTGGCAGCTGCTTCAAATAGTTCTCCGTCTGAAGGTGGAGTCGCTCGCGGCCTTCCAGTAAATCAAACCATGTGCGACGAGGGGCCTGTGCCGGCCTGAAGCACCCTGCTTGGCCGGGCCCCAGCCGCGCCTCCGGTCCACTGGCTCTTTAAATAGCCTGGGGTTCACATTCCATTTCCTTGTACGATCACTGTGGAGCCGGCCTGGCCGGAGAAGCTTCAGGATGCGGGCCGCCTCCTTTGGTACCCCCCGAAAAGGATGGAGGGAAACGGGCTCCGAGACGCCACCCAGTCCCCCGGCTCGGCCTCCAAACAATGCCCGTGTCTCCCTAGACCCCGGGACCCCCTCACCGTGGCTGGTCAGGGCGAGACCCAGGGAGGGCCCGGGGGGCCCTGTCCGCCGCCAACTTGCAAGGCCTGTGCCCGGCCCCGTGGCTTCCACGAGCGGCCTGGGCGCCCACCCCTCGGAAGAATGGTCATCAGTGCCAGAGCAGATGTGCTCCGGTGGGACCGGCCCTGAGAGGCGGAGGCAGAAGGGAGGGCTGCCGTAGCCGAGGATGTTGGGAATCCTGTCCTTGTTCCCAGCACCCACCACGGGCCCGGCGCTGGGGTCTGTCTTCCATGCACGTCATTTCGTAAATCCTCACGGCCGCCCTCAGAGGCGTAGAGCGTTGACTGTGGCCCTCAGAAAGATTGAGTCTACGTCCTAAGCCCAGAACTTGTGAATAGGAGCTTATGTGAAGAAGGGGGTCTTAGCCGACGCCATTAAGGATCTCAAGGCGGGTTCATCCTGGATTATCTGGGTGGGTCCCAAATCCAGGGACAGGGGTCCTTGCAAGACAGCCACAGGGACACAGACGGGAAGCCCGTGTGATGACAGAAGCAGAGGTTGGAGCGACGTGACCGCGAGCCAAGGGCGGCGTGGAGCCACCAGAAGCTGGAAGAGGCAGGAAGGATTCTCCCCTCCGAGCCTCCGGAGGGAGCGCGGCTCTGTCCGCACCTTGATTTTGGACTCCTGGCTTCCAGGACTGGGAGAGGATGAACGTGTGTTTTAAGCCACCCAGTGCGTGGTGATTTATTGCAGCAGCCACAGGAAACTGATACAATGTGGAAACTGGGGGTCAGAGAGACGGAGCACGGCCACCTCTCTCCTCACTGCCCCGGACTCTGCCTCCCTGATGAGGAGGCTGATTTTGAGAAAACTGATCTCATTCCCATCCAGCAGGACAGAGGTTCCGGGACCCAGGCAACTTCCGGGCAAGATGCCTTCCTAGGAAAGGCTTGTTCACAACACTTCCGAGCACACGAGGGTCTGTGTGGCATATGAGTCATTACATGAGCTGCTTTTTAACTGACCAGTTATGATGGGCCAGGCTGCACTCTAAGGTCTTCGTGGAGACTGAATCCTCACGGTGACCTCAAGAGAGGAAATTTTCTCTCCGTTTCACAAATGAGGAAATCGAGACCAAGGGAAGCACTGGGGGAGGGTGTCGGGGAACCCCCCCCTGGGGAAGCAATTGGAAGTCAAAGCAGCCAGGCACAAGAGGTCCCACAGGGGGTCCGATCCCACCTGGTTATCAGCTGCGCACAACAGGTGAATCCATCGAGTCAGAAGGCAGTTGGGGGGCGGCCGGGGGCGGGGGGGCGGGGGGATGGGGAGGGACTGCCAATGGGCACAGGGTTTCCCCTGGGTGGATAAAAATGTTCTGGAACCAGACAGAGGTGGTGTTGCACATCGTGAGCGTGCTCACGGCACCGAAGCATACACTTTAAGATGGGCAGCGTGACGTTACGTGAGCTTCATCTCAACTTTTAAAAAAATATTTATTTAGTTTGGGGAGAACACCAGCGGGGGAGGGGCGGAGAGAGGGGGACAGAGGATCTGAAGAGGGCTCTGCGCTGACAGGCTGACAGCAGCGAGCCCGATGCGGGGCTCAAACCCACGAACTGCGAGATCCTGACCTGAGCTGAAGTCGGACGCTCGACCGACTGAGCCACCCAGGCGCCCCAGCTCAATGTTGTAAAAAACCAGTGGAAAAGGGTGAGGTCGGAGTCCTGGCACCAAGGACCTTGAAGCGCCCAGCCCTAAGCTCCTAGTGTCTCAGCAGGTCCCCCGGGGAGAAAAGTGCTCCTGCTGGGTCACAGACGGGGACAGCAGGGCGCCTGAGAGCCTGGCTGGAAGTTACCGTCCCGCGTGGGTCGGGGAGCTGGGCGTGAATCGCAGGCTGCCCCGGCTCCAAAGCCCAGGACCCTCTCCGTGGCCATGAGGACGACGCACAGACGAGCTCGAAAGGGAAGTTCTTTGCTTTTTGGCTGAAGTGGGTCCTAGCTGTGGTGGTCACAACCCCGATGGTGACTTTGTGGAACAGCAATCAAAGGGAAGGAACCTCACAAACGTGGTTTGCTTGGAATATCTATCAAAAGGTGGAAGGGAGAAGGGACGGTCTGCTCTTCACGCTGTAAAGAGCGGGGACACGGTCGGGGAGAGACATGGTCCTGGGTGATGCTGAGGTCGTGGGAAATATCAGGGGCAGCTCTTGGGTGGACAGGCCTGCTGCAGGGTGCCTGGGCAGTGGTCTAGGACCTGCAGGCCAGCTCCGAGCTCCTGCTTCAGCTTTCCAGGACTAATTGCCTTGGGGAAACTGAGGCTCGCTCGGGGGACCAGCCCCAGGCTGAGGTTTCCTCCCCCCACTCTGGTATTTTCCTCAGACTGCCTGGCTCGCGAGCACGAGCACTTCCTCACCTGGGAAGGTGCTGGCCACGCAGCCCCCGCTCTCCGGGACATTTGCACGCGCTCTGAAACGCAGGGTACGGAGAGCTGATTTCCACCCACACCAGTGGTCTCCACGCTTCTCTGAGTCACAGCCCCAGTGAGCCTCTGAAGGGAACGGGGAAGGTCAGGGGGTCTGCCTGGGTCCAACTCTGCCTCCACCCCAGGGCAGGGCGTCAGACTCGGTTCCCGTGTTTCAAGATGCAGATTCCTGGGCTCTACGTGCTGCATCAGAGTTTCTGTGGGTTTGCTTTTTCCCGAAGGTGCCCTAGTGATTCACGTGCAGGTACCTGTGAACTTCAGCTTCGGGCCCCCAAGCTGGGTCCTGCTATTCGTGAGCCTCTACAAGACACAATCTTAGGGACGGCTGGAAGGTCCACCCTCAGAAGAGTCCGGGGAGGGGTAAATGAGGTCTTTGCATTTCCCGCCTACAAGGTGGACCCAGGACGGGCTGCAGCTGGGTCGAGTGGGAAGACAGACCCAGGGTAAGTCAGCGCCGACTCCATCCTGCCAGCTGCCCTCAGCCTGGGCTTTTCCACCGGGAACATTCCCTCTGCTCAGCAAAATCACTATCAGACTGGCAGCGGCTGCTGCGTTCTGGCCCGGGAAGAAAGGTTCCAAAGACGTGTTAGCTTTCTGTTCTCTTAAAACAGGAAAGGAAAAGAGAAAGAAAAAAGGAGAGAAAGAGAAAAGGTCAGGGCCCCGCCGAGGACACGGAGGTCCGAAGCTGGGACAGGATGCCGCTGAGGACACCGGGAGGACCGCAAGGCCGGCCCGGCTGCCGGCGGCTGAGCCCCACGAGGCCCTCAGAGAGCCATGAGCGGCTTCCTCTGGGCCTCCTCGGCCAGGACATCATTTGTTGATTCTAGAGCCCAATTCCTAGCTCATGATTTCTCTCTGGTTGCCATGGCCCCGTACAGAAAACACAGCAAACTCCTGGCCCCGGGCAGCTCATTTATTTCAAATATTCCCTGCAGCTGGACTCCAACCATGTTTGGGTGTCTGGACTGGAGCATGAACTAATTGCTCTGTCTTCGGCCCCCTCCCCAGCTCCCCCGGCATACTTTATGGTTCAGTAAAGTCCGCATTCCACATCTCGCCGCCGAGGAGGCGCGGGAGGGAGGCTGGGTGGGGAAGCCTTGTGCAGGAGGAGGGTGGGGGGGGGGGCTCTTCCCATCTGTGGCCAAGCCCCAGGCCGGCTACCTGCTCGAAGGCAGGGTATTAATTACAACCACATGGGCCGCTCTGCAAGATGGTTTTATTAAGACTGCTCCCTTCCACGCGAAACCCTGCTCCCCCAGAAGTCTCCAGGCCGTACAAAGGCCCCTATTTTCCCCGGGCATCCACAACCCCCAATCCCACCCCTACCCCCGCCCACCGCCTGACCCCGCTCCTCCCCCTGCTGTGTCCTTCAAAGCTAGCGGAGTCCCGACTGCAACCCACACGTGAACTCCGACCGAAAAGTAACGTCAGACCACCCCTTTCCTCCAAACACACCCGGGGAGGGTCTCTAGGGCTCCCTGTCCCCCAGTACCCACCTGGATCTCTGGAGACCCGAGAAGAAAGATCGGGAAG